TAAATGGATGTGATGGAGTGACCCAGTATGAGAAAGATGACTTTTATGGGAATTGAGAGTAGATAAGGGTCACACTTCTGCCTGAATGGAACTTTATGCCCCATCTCTCAATACAGAATCTTGGCTACACATATTCCTTTGAAAATTCAAAGACTCATAGAGTTGGAAGAAACTATAAGGGTCATCTAGTACAACACACCGCCCATGCAGGAATTCACAGTTATAGCAAATTTTCTGACAATATGGTATAATCAGTTAAGATTGCCATGTGTCCTTCTTTATAAAGGACAATCCCTTATTTGTAGGTCTATCCAGGCCAGGTTTGGTTTAAAGATTTAAACATATTCCATAAGTAAGAAAGCAGGTGCTTTAAAGTTGACCACCAAGTTACTGTACCATTTGGGTGGCAGGTGGATACACAGGTCACCATTATGGTGAGATGTACTGCATTTTATTAAAATTACAGCATTTGTTACAGTTTAAATGTGCATGTCTAGCAGAAACTGGAAGGAATGTGTGAAAGTAACACAGCTACCTGCAACAAATAAGGAGGTTGCTGTTGTGTGCTTTCAAGTCATTTCCACCTTATGGTGACCCAAAGACATATCATGGGATTTTCTTGGCAAATTTCTTCAATAGGGTTTGCTACTGCCATTCTCTGAAGCTGAGAGAGTGGGACTTGCCCAAAGTCAACCAGTGGATTTTTTTGGCTGAGCAGGGATTCAAACCTTGGTCTTCGGAGTCATAGTCCAACACTTAAACCACTACGCCATGGGGCTTAACAGTAATACTTTTCAAAAGTAATGCTATGAGTGGGAATGTCATTACTTGGTTTGGTGTAACAAGTGACTTTTATGGTTACTTTTAAATGTCATTTCAAAGAGCATTTTCAGAAGCATATGAAAAGACCTTCCCACAACTCTGATTTTATGACTTTTTTATCTTAAACAATCAATGTTTCAAGGGTGAGTGAACAGTACACATGTTGTCAGGGCAAAACCTAATTGTACAGATGATTAATACCATGCTTTAGGACTGGCTTTCCCATTATGAAACCTTGGAGGTGTGTTGGACTACCAATCCCACTATTCCTAGCCATCAATTGGACTTTGGACATTGTATGCATTTGTAAAGTGCATGGATGAAGAAGGCAACTTGTAACCAGTTACAAAAGGTACAACAATATTTACCTAGATACTTTATGCCATTTTCCCTGTCAATCCTCTGATATCCAGTCTGAACACTAAGAATTAACATATCAGCAACCTATTGTGTTACAATGTTCTCCAACATTAACATAAATAGATTAGATTTTCGAGTTCACCAATAGGCAATGAAGTGTGTCAGGCCTTTGCTACTAGCATTTCATTCTCTGATCTGCAGATGTCAGCTAGCACATTTAAATGGAAATCTCATCTTCTTTTGGGGCAATAAGGAGGGTGACTGGTGGCTTCCATATCAGTGGGATGGTGAATCCTCTCTGAACCCAGTCCCCCAAATAGGTTCAGCAACCTGAAAAGGCTCCTTTGAAGTTTAGTATAGTCTCCTTCTTTGGAGGTTTTTAAACAGAGGCTAGATGGTCATCTGTCGGGGGTGCTTTGATGGTGAGTTCCTGCATGGCAGAATGGGATTGGACTGGACGGCCCTTGGGGTCTCTTCCATCTCTATGATGCTATGATTCTAACCTGGATAACTCAGAGTGAATTTATCACCCCAGTGACATGGGAACCATCAACTGCTATTTGGTGATGAGAAAGTGACCATGCTATCAAGAGTTCAAGGATCAACCTCACCAACTGTAGCACTGGAAATGATGACCTTCATGGGACTCAGTTATTCATTTGCATGCACATATCTATATTTCATTTCAAAACCACCTCTGAGTATTCCTTGCCTGAGGAAGCCTTGGAAATTCATGCAGATGATAGGTGACTTGAAGGCACGTGTGCACAGACAGACACAGACACAGACACACACTACAGATTAGTGCCAACATGATGTAGTGGTTAGAGTCTCAGACTAGGACTTTGGGCTGCCAGGGTTCAAATCTCTCTTGAGTCATGGAAACACACTGCTCCATTTCTCATCCTTAGAGAAAGACAATGGCAAACTTCCTCTTCCTCTTGTGGAAAGAACCCTACGATAAGTCACCATAAATCAGAGCCAAAGACACTACTGGATGGCAGTACAGGAGGCATCTGTATTCCTCTATTCCCACCAGTGTCCCTGGAAAAGTGGTGGAACATGAAGAAGAAAACCAACTCTGTGACTTCACCCTTGAAGCAAATGTAACAAGAAGTTTCCCAAAGGAAAGATTAGGACAAAGGCAAACACTTGGGACACACTACCAGGAAACGGGGTATCTCTGATAAACATATGCCTTTGTGATTTCCTGGGAATATTCTTCCCTGTAAATTCTTAATTTTCTGTGGTACCCATGAAAGCCTCCTACTGTGATTGATCCCCATTTCTTTCTTTTTTTAATATTTGATTTTATAATTTTTAAATAAAGCATCATGGGTTCAGTTATATTGGTAAGTCCTGACTGTAGTAGGCCTGTTGAATGAATGGTTCACTGCTGACTTAACATGTAGGTAAGTCCTATTGGTTCAATGGGCCTATTCTAGTTGGCACTAATGGGCCATGCATCATTCACCACGATTTGGAGTCATACTATGTGGTAGACTGGGACAGCTGCCTCAGACTGTTCATTTTGGGTATTACAAAAGGGCATCAAATTGGCAGTTATGTAATATAATTGTACTTTTTTTTTTGGTCCCTGCTGAGCCTTGCTTTCTCTTTGACTCCTAATGAGATTTGAAATAATGGTCCTCACCAGTGTCTGATGGCTTCCATGTCAGTGAGGGCAGTGAGTTTGCTCTGGGTTTTAATCCAATTTGTAAAAGATCTGTCCAAGAGCCTATCCTCAAAATAGGTGCAGCATCTTGGACAGCTCTTTTACTAGTGGGACAAAAACTCAGAGTGGATTCACCACCCCACTGACATGGATGCCACCACTGAAGGCCCTTATACATGTTTGCAATGTGGACTACAGCTGTGGTGGCAAAAACTCAGGGAGGGAGAATCAAATAGCATTTAGGATTAGAGCTGGGATCCTAAGAGTTAAATGGAGGCCTGTGCTAGCTACCCCAAAGGATCATAAAGTTCCAAGGTGACGTTCGCAAAGCCCACTTTTGCCTGTTCCTTGTCGAAACACAGCCAGAGCACTTACCTATGGCATTAAAACACTGGTAAAGCTCACTGATGGACATCACTGTTGTAGAAGGGTGGATTGATTTCTAGTAGCAATCATAGAATTATAGCGTTGGAAGAGACCTCAAGGGCCATCCAGTCCAACCCCCTGCAATTCAGGAATACAATACGAAACCACTCCCAACAAACCACACTCTGAGGCAGTGTATTCTGCTGTTGAACAGCTCTTACCGTCAGGAAATTCTTCTTAATGGTTAAGTGGAATCTCTTTTCCTGTAGCTTGAATCCATTGCTCCATGTCCTAGTCTCTGGAGTAGCAGGAAACAAGCTTGCGGCATCCTCAATATGACCTCTCTTCAAATATTTAAATATAGCTATCATGTTACCTCTTAACCTTCTCTTCCTCAAGGGAATGGTTTCCAAACTTTTCACCATTTTGATCACCCTCCTCTAGACACACTCCAGTTTGTCAATATCCCTCTTGAATTGTGGTGCCCAGTATTCCAAGTGAGGTCTGACCAAAGTACAATAGAGTGGTGCTATTACTTTCCTCGATCTAGACACTACACTCCTATTAATGCAACCTAGGATCATATTGGTTTCTTTAGCTGCTGTATCACACTGTTGTCTCATGTTCAGCTTGTGGTCTACTAAGACTCACAGATCCCTTTCCCATGTACCGCTGTCCAGCCAGGTGTCACTCATCCTATATCTGAGTCTTTCATTTTTATGCCTAAGTGCAGTACCTTACATTTCTCCTTACTGTAATTCATTTTGTTAGCAGTCAGTAAATATTAAGTCCCCATAGAATCAAGGAGAGCATGAGAAAAGCAAGAGAGTGGAATACAAATGTACAAAAGCATGTTAAGACCAGACCACAGAAGCAAACTAAATATTGTCATAATTCTTTGCACATTATTTGAAAGGAACTTGGGTCAACATATATTGTGAAGAGACAACAATGTTTCAGAGAATTGTTAAATGCAATGGAATATTGTTGCTTCCTTCATGAAATAAAAAGCCTGATTTAAAATACATCAGAGGAGACAAAATGAATGAAGAATTTACAAACATCTATATTTTAGTGTTAGGAAATGTGTTAAGATTAGGAAACAGTTAGTTGGAGACACTGAATTATACAGCTCTGACTATTTTCAGGCAATGAGAAGTTTACATAGTACAGCTTAACATGATAAAAGGTCTCCCACAAGATACATAGAATGACAGACAACTTGTCCGAATTTTGACATAACACAGCATCAAATACACATGTAATGTGATGAAACAATGTCCAAGCATTTTCGGGTTATGTAGCAACATACAACCTTTGTTCTCTTTTGTTTTGTTTTGCATAAGGCAATTCAAATCACAACATACCTCAGGCAAGCATGCAGGAAAAAGTCATTTATTTTTGTAAGTTGTTATGACACACCTTGCAACATGTTTCATTATAATGTATTATTAGACAAAGATGATATAAACCATCCAAATAATATACATATAATTTGTTTCTTTGTTTCTTTGAATCAGTAATTGCATTTACACTGGAATAAAGATAATCAGTTTTGGTAAAAATAAAACTATTTGAATTCACTTGTTAACAAAATGCACAGTGATCATAAACCCATTTTTCTTCATTTTCTTTGAGTCAACCTTTATGAATCTTTTTTCATAGATCCGTCACACTGCAGTTGGGTTCTAGTGGACACATAGAGATGATTGTACATAGTACTAGGATTTCATCTTCATGTAGTTCCCATGGCTACAAAAACTGCTAACCATTTTAAAATCACATGATATAACAACAATGCTATGTGAACATCATGTTCATTTAATGTCCAGCTTCTTGACAGATACAGTGTTATTATAGTAGGTTTACTTTGTTTTTAAAGACTGACCAGCTTGAGCATCTTTAGTCACAAAACACAAACATTAAAACTTAGAAAATACACTTTATACATGGTAGTATTTAATAGACCCCTGATCCAGCTGAAAACAAAGCACATGCTTCAGTACTTTGGTGGATTAGGTACTCTAATGTCTTTACTACCAATGAATTCTTATAAAGTTCCTTTTATTATTTTAAATAAGAAACTATGGCTCTGCTCAGAAATAAAATACCTGAGCACAAAATGTTCCACATTCCCATTCTGAAAAAAATAAGGTCAGAATTTACCTTACTGAAAGAAACAAGTCTAAAAAAAATCACAATGGATAAGGAAAGCCACTTGGTTCAATCTACATGATGCTATCATAAGTGAAAATTAATGTTGTGGATTAGTTCTTTCTTCTCCTTTCTCTCTTGCAAGACCCTTAGGTTGTGTGGGTTCAATTTGGTATACTTGCTCCAGATTGCTATGCTATATAGCTGCAATAGAAATTACCAATATATATTAGCAGATTTTTTGCTGACCTGTCTCTTTTCTAGCATATAGTCTCACTGCACTAGAAGGAACCTTTACTTGTGGATTGCACCCAGTGTCTCAGCATGTGCATGGGCATTTTGAAGCACATCTCAGTAGCCCCATCATCTCATCAATCTGGAGATCAGTGTCTCATGTGCAGG